CCCTCAGCCCTGATTGGTCCAGGATGTATTTCTGACAGTGGCAGAGCCAATCAGTCTACAAAACCCTTGGTCAGGCTGCTGAGCCGGGTGACGTAGGACTTAAAAGCCAGGGTGACTTGCTCCACAGGGAAGGGGGCACAGGAAGGGACCAGAGAACAAGATCTAGGGAGAATGGAGACCCTGAGAAGCAGTGGCTCTGGCTGGGGTCCCACCCGACCTTCCCTGCGTCTGGCAGATGTGCTCTGTCCCGTACCAAATTCAACCCTTTCCTCGGCCTCCTCTTCCTTTCGCAGCAGCTGTTTTAAGTGGGTTTCCCCTCTGCAACCAGTCTTGAGAAGGAATTGTTTTCACTGTTTCCTGCCAGTCCTTCCTCTTGAGCAAGTCTTTTTGCAAACACTAGCAGTACTGTCCACTGCGAGAACGGGAGGGGAGCTGGCACCTGCTGGCCGCTCCCTGTGCCCCGCTGTCTCAGGCCTGAGAGGCCTGGGTTGGGGTCATCCGTTCCACAGAAAAGGGAAGCGAGGTTCAGAGAGAGTAAGGGGTTGGCCCGGGGGGCTCATCTCGTCCGCACTCCCGGCTGGTCCGACTCTGAGGGCAGAGTTCTTTCTGTTCTGCTGAAGTCTGGTTACTCCCCGCCCCCCACGGAAATGTGTTCCAAAATAAGCCTCTCCCTTTTGAAGTTTGGAGGTCAGGTATTTTGTCCCAGCAGTGAGGGAAGTGACCCAGAAGCTCTGCCCCTTGTCAGGATTTTGTCTCAGTCCTCTCCCTCTCAACAATGCCTTGCTCCAACTTTGGGAGCAATAAACTATGCTTCCAGAAAGTTCCGCTCGCTGCCTACTTCCCATCTCTCGTGACGCACCTGAAATCCACCCCAGCGCCTCTGGTCCAGGTGGAGAATGTACAGCCCTGGCCTCTGCCCCACGCAGAGCAGAGCCGGAACCCACGGTCCCCCGCCAGCTGTGGAAGGAAGGCCAGCGGCCGCCCTCTGAGCCTTACTTTCTCAGCTGTGGAGTGGGAATGAGAAATCGAATCCCACAGAACTTTGGGGAGAGTAAATAAGTGAAAGCAAAGCCTTTACCCTCCTGTTTGACAGAAAAGAGCCTGAGGTACAGTAATTGCTTTGGCTGCTGCTGTCCAGGCCCCCACCCCCACCCCGGGGCTCTGAGGAAGTTAGGGGCACTTCAGTCCCTTTCCCCATGGGCTCCGTGCAATTCTGTCCACCTCCGCACCCCTGGACCCCTATGGTCGCAGCTCAGCAAGCCAGTGTCTCTCTGGGAATTCCAGGGAGGGATCACTGGCTGGGAGGCCTCTGCTTGTTGCTAGATGCAGAGAAAACAAATACTGTTTTAGAAACATTAATAATTGAGAGGTTTCAGCAGAGAATAGGCCAGCATTTGGGGAATTGAAAATTAAGACTCAGGCAGGCACTCCCCCAAGCTGATTTCCTGATGAATTATTCACGGAACTGAGGCCCGCAAAGACCTAGACAAGAGGCTGCCTGGTCTGCCCTCACCAGTGCCACCACCACCACTGCCTCACTGAGACTTTTCCCTGACCCCTGGGCCGGGTTCTGGTTTTAGTTTTTTTTTTGTACTGGGATTGAACTGTGGGCCTTCACACTGAGCTACATCCTAGCCTTTTAAATTTTTATTTGCTTTTTAAAAAAATTTTTGAGACAAAGTCTTGCTAAATTGCCCAGGTTGGGCTCAGACTTGCAATTTTCCTGTCTTAGCCTTCTGGAGTGTGGGGATTATAGGACTGTGCTGTCATGCCCAGCTTCTGGACTAAATTTTCATTGTTCTCTTGTTGGCATGTAGTTGTATGATTTTTGGCAATTCAGAGCCTCTCCCAGGGAAGTCCTGCCACCTTTGAGCTGACTGTGACTGTGATCTAAGTGAGGGAAGGGACCCAAAGCCTCAGCTCACAGGGAGGCCTGTCCCCCAGAACTCTGGAGGATGTGTTCCTCTGTGTTCCTCTTCTGGCCTCCCCCTTTCCCTACACACACATTCCCTGAGGGCCTGCTCTGCACCAGCCCCTGCCCTGACACTGTCAGGGAACCAGACCCGACAAGGGCGGAGAGCTGCTCCCGCCTGTGGTTGCCAGGTGTCGCCCATCTGCCTCCTCCTGAATCTCTGAGGTCTGCAGGCTGAGCACAGTGAGTCCAGGCCAGGAGAGGTGGTCCACGTCCTTACTTCCAAAGTCCTCCTCGTTTCCCACGCCATCTGAACTCCTGCACCTAGATCTCAATCCCGATGAAAGGGAAAGCTTACGTTTGCACAGAAACCTCACAATCTCTCCAAACCGGAAACAAGGCCTGTCCACCGGATGTCGGGTGCAGCATGTGACACTCCAGCACCGAGCATGGACAGCGCGGTGGGTCCAGTACCCTGGAGAGAGTGTGAGGAGCCAGACCCCAAGGCTGTAGGTGGTCGGTGCCTGTGACCCTCTGGGTGCAGCACTCAGGAAGCGGACAGTGGTGCCCATGCCCTTTGGGCTCTGAGAAAATGCTGGAGTGTTTAAACAGGGGAGGTCTACAGTAGACATCTGTTTCAGAAAGATTGCTCTGTTGTGTATTTAGAAGCAGAAGCTGATGGATCTACGAGCCTCCTCCTGCCTTCAGAAATGTTTTCATTTGCCTTAAAAAAAAAGAATTTGAATCTGTGACTTGTATTTAAAAACCAGGTCTCACACAAATTCTGCATTCCTGGCTTCTCTCCAGGTGAGACACACGCCTTCGGTTTGCCTGAGCTGCAGCCCACTCCCTTGTATCCCTCCCCAGCTTAGTGTGTGCTGACTTTGACCCCAGGGGCTGCAAGTGGGTTGTGGGGGAGAAGACGCGGAGGGCAGCCTTTCCCAGTGTGGTCTGACAGTGTCCTCCTGCAGCGGTAGTCTGGGTCCTGGCTGTCGCCCAGAGGCTTGGTTGCCAGCCTGTGGCACTACTGGGATGTGGTGGGAGGTGTAGAAGGCGGAGCCTAGTGGGAGGAAGTTAGGTCATTATGGGTGTGGCCTTGAGGGGGACACTGGGACCCCGACCCTTTCCCTCCCTCTGTGTTCCCCAGCTGCCACCTGCCTAGTGGTCCACAGACATCCTGTACCACACATTCCCGCCATGATGTACTGAACCACCACAGGCCCCCGGCAGGAGGGCCAAGTAAACAAGGATGGGGCCAAAATAAATGTCTCCTCCTTAGAAGCTGATTATCTCAGTCCTGTCACAATAATGCAAAGTTAACCCCCCTGGGGAAATCTGAAACATGCTGATGTGCTGCCCAGTCCAAGTTGCCAGGGGCAGCTTGGGCGTGTGTATTTTGATAAGAGCTCTCTCTCAGTTACTTTCCTGCTGCTGGACACCATACCTGACGCTTGCAATTTAGAGAGGTTTACTTTGGCTTATGGTTTCAGTCCATGGTCGGCAGACACCAAGGCAGAGGCAGCACGGCAGAGGGGTGTGGCAAAAGCAAAGGTGCTCAACCCAGGGAGGCCAAGCATCAGAGAGAGAAGGGAGGACAAGGACACACCCTTCCAGTTCATGACCCAGTGACCACCTCCAACTAGGCCCCACCTCCTACAGCAGTCAGCTGTGAGTTCATTCATGGGTGGCATCACTGACGAGTGTAGCGCCCCAGGATTGAGTCACCTTCCACACACACGAGAATTCTGGGGGATATTTTAGATCCTAACCATAACATCCCCCCAATATTCCAGAGAAGATGTAGTACCAGGGGCTCGGCAGAAACAGGAGAGAGGTGCTGGGACCCCATCTGCTGCCCAGGGCCATGGGAGGAGGCAGTCACAATGGTGCCACATGGCAGCTGCTTGGGTCACACCCTGTCCGGGAGCCTGCGGCCTCCAGTGTGAAGGGGTCCAGAGTGCATCTGTCCGATGTAGCTGTGCCCCTCACTTTGCTCTGTGTGTCCTCTGAGGCCGGAATGCAAGGGGAATGTCTGAAAGGGATGAGGGAGGGGCCACGCCTTCTGAGCTGCACCTTCACAAGACGAGGAATTGCTTGGTGCCAGGCTGAACCTCTGGGACCCCCTTTGAACCTTACCCTTAATATGGTGATGTAGAGAGGTGGGGCCTTTGTGAGGCAACAGGGTCATGAGGACAGAGCCCTTGTGAGTGGGATTCGTGTCTGTTCCGGTCCTGATCTGAAATGTCTCCTAAAAGTCTTCTGTGTTTGGAGCAGGGCTTTGGTAAGGTGATTGGATCGGGGGCTCTGCGTTCCTCAGCTAATCCACTGATGTGTTTCTAGCTGGAAGGTCTGTCCCTGGGGCGTGCCGCTGGAGGACACATTTCTTCCTATACTTCATCTGCCCTCTTTCTGAGTCCAGCCCCCACGAGGGGAGCGGCTCGCACCTGCCGTGTCCACCGTGATGTTTCTCCTTTGGATCCAGCTGGTCGTGGACTGAAACCTCTGAAACTGTGAGCCAGATAAACTCCCCTCCTTTTGTCTGTGGCTGTTCAGTATGGGAAGCTGACCCAGAAAACTCCCTGTCCTCTTCCCCAAATGATGTTACAGTGCAAAGGCAATCGTCTGTGTCAAGTGGTCGCCTTCATCTCGGACTGCCAGGCTCCTGAACTATGAAAAACAAATAAACTTCCATTACTTGTAAGCCATTAGCTTTTGGTATTTTGTTATAGCAGTGCTAGTGGACTACGATACTTGGGTAGGGGTGAGGGTAGGAGGTGATTTGTCTGTCCAGAATCTTGAGTACTCAGACCACTGGAGAAAAGTGGGTGAAAATGTTTTCCAAGGGGCACCCACCCGACCTTCTGTTGAAGATGCTAATCTCCTCCGTATGAGCAGCTGTGTGAAACAGGATGGACACCGCTGCCCCTTTACAGGCGGGCCAGGAAAGGAAATAGAGACTCGGCACTCTGCCCACTCGGAAGTGGCAGCACTGTGCTACGCTGAGCTGCCTCCACAGCTCTCTGCGGTCTGCGCCCATCCACGCCTTAGCCCTGGCTGGGGCTGCACACACAGAGCCACACACGTGTGACCTCCCCAGATGCCTTTATTGTCTTTGGTGTCCCCTCAGCATTCCTCCTGGCACCCAGTGGGCATCTTCACGGCTGGCCGTGGCCTCTGCCCCCGAGGACCCTCTTGCTCCCTGATCTGTGAGTCACTGCAGGAAGGAGCTCTGGGTCCTGAGCAGGGGCAGGGCCCAGACTGCCACCTTCCCCCCGCCCACACAGGTGGCTTCACTTGGCTGGGCTGGTCTCTGTCCCACTGTCGGCCACAGGAAGCACAGTTCCAACCTGCGGGTGAAGGGCAGCTCCTGGCTCCTCCTCTCATCCCTGGGCCTCTCTGAGAACCACAGAGACACAAGTGGTGTCAGGAGCCTTCACCCTCAGGAGGACCGTGCTCGGAAGGAAGTGGACTCTTCCATAAATGACACTCCTCAGGGACTGGGGCCCTGATGCAGCCCGCAGGGTTCTCTAGACGCATTCACTGATGACCCCGGGGTGGCCCCTCTGGGCTGTGCTCTCAGGGATGCAAGAACCACAGGGCTGCTCTGTGACCTGTGCTTGCTATGGAGTGTGTGCTCTGGGGCTGGGATGCACTGGGTTCCCATGGAGGGCGCTGCTGCTGCTCCTGGACTTGGACACTCAGGCAGGGGTTGCTCGCTTCTTCTCAGTTCAGCACGATTGGTGTTGGCTGTTGATGGTGCTGGGCACTTAGGATGTTTTCACTACAAAGTGTTCCACCCTCTGATCGTTTCACCTTCTGGTGGTGGGTTGATGGGTTCGGCTCCGTTGGCCCTGCCACTGTGGTGCCCCCTGCAGACGTGCCTGGCTCCATCACGAGGCTCGCAGTACTGGCTGTTGTGACTGCTGGTGGCCTTCTTCCCCCAGCTTGGATGGGTCTTGCTACCGCTCTTGTCACTGGCAGCAGTGCTCCGAGAGGTGGCCTTGCCCTTGGGCACAGGCCTTTGGCATGGACGCTCGGCACTGCTGTCCGGCCGCAGGAGCACTGCCTGCGGATGGCCGCTGTGCGTAGGGAGGGCTCTCCCTCGAAGGCTTTGCCGTGGTCACGGTTTTGAAGGCCAGTGTTGGCAACTTCTGTGGGCGGAGCGTGGATCTTAGGGCCCTTGTGCCTGCGGCTCCTGGTGGGGACCCCAGGGCTGGGGTCTATAAAGGCCCGTGTGCCTGGGCAGGCTGCTGGCCCTGGGACGCCTCACTGCTGTCCGTCCCGCTGGCCCTGGGCTTGTCCTCCTGGAGGTTGGTGCTGCTGCTCAGTGTGCTTTGCCCGCCACCACTGGTGCAGAGGCCCTGGCTGCTGCTGGGCTGGCTGGAGGCCTGGCTGGCCGAGGTGCTGAGCAGCCCACTGCTGCTCACCTGGTAGGTCAGGAAGCTGCTGCCCGGGCTGAGGGAGCCGATGCTGCTCAGGCTGCTGCTACTGCTGCCCGGCAGGCTGGTTTTGCTCTTCCCCTCCAGCTTGCTTGGTGCTGGGGCCTTGGCCTGAGCTTTTCCTGCACAGTGGGCTCTGTGGTGGCCCAGGAGTGATCACAGCGCTCAACTGACTGCTCTGAGTACTGCCCACCTGGGTGTTGAGCCTTCTGGTCAACCGCTTGATTCGACGGCCGCGCACCAGGCTGGTGCTGCTGCTCTCCTCATCCCCTGCGTAGCCGCTGCTCCCCAGGCTGCTGCTGCTCTGGTCCTTCAGTCTGGGATAGAGCATGCTATGAACCAGGCTCTGCCTGCTGCGCGGGTTGGCCAGGGTGCTGCCGGAGACTCTCAGGGATTCCCGAACGACGGCGGCATAGCTTGGCTGTTGGCGCGGTTGGAGCTCTAAGCTGGGTGACCATGGGCTTGGCTCTTCCCCCAGAGCACCACAGGCAGAAGAGCCCCCTTCTTCTGCCTTGGGGACAATGGGGGGCAATGGCATTGGCTTATCCAGGAGGAGGTGGCCCTGGGAGGCCTCTGAGTGGTGACTGGCCTCTCTGGGGAGAGGTGGCTCCATTTATATGGCGCTGTCTGAAGACAGCGTTCTGATTGGCTGATTTTGTCCCCATGGCAACAGGGCCTGCGAGGTGCCAGGAAGAACAATGCTGCTGTCATAGAGGTCAGTTACATCAGCAGCCTTTCCTGGAGGGAGGAGCTGGGTGGAAGGGGGCCCACAGCCCAGGAGGCGAGCTCCACCCTCCTGAAAAACTTCCCAGCTGCACTACTGTGCCAGCCCCTGCCTCCTTGCTGAGGTAGTTACAAGGCTGGAGAGAATACCACAGACAGGAGTTTGCTCCAAATCTCTTGCCAGATTTTCAAGGCCCTGCTGGTTTGGTTTTCTCAGCTTCACTTTGTGCCATACCCTACTCCTTCCCCACATTGAAGGGAAATCCTCAGAGTCACACCAGTTTTCATGTTCTAAGATCTGACCTGCTGCAGGGCCTTTGCACAGGCTATTCCCACCACCTGGAATGCTTTCCCTTTGGTCTCTCATCCTTTAAGCTTGAGTTTAAGGAACTCTTTCTTGAGAAGCCTCCTTTGATTCACCAAGAAGAACCTTCTACCTTTTTTAATGCTCCTTGCTATTTTATGTTCCTTGTGACGTCATTATGTGTTATATATGTATTTATGGTCAGTTCCCTCCATCAGAATATAAACTTGATTTCTTTGCCTCCAATGTCCAGCACACTGCCTGGCCCATAATAGATACTTATTAATTGGTGATTAAATGAAGAAATAAATGAACTGCCTGGCTTATGCATCCCAATCACCTAGGACACTTAACAAAAACCACATCGGCATTGTCTGGGACAGTGACTCTGTGCCCTGTTAGAATCACCTAGGGCTGCCTGGGCCCCCGCCAGAAGTCCAGCGTTAACTGGTTTAAGATGAGATTTTGGAGGAAGAGTTTTAAAAAATCTTTCCCGGTAACTGCAGAACGCAGCTGACATTAAGAATCATGCTGGGCAGAGTGGCTCAGCCACCCACGTGTTTCCCACGTGACCGTAATGGCAACCCTGAAGAAGTAGTGGCATTGTCCTAGTGACTTTCCTCATTGCTGAGACACAATACCTGGCACCCACAATTTAAAGGAGGGGAGGTTTAGTTTGGCTCCTCTATTCAGTCCATAGCTGGCCAGCTCCAGAGAAGAGAGGCACAGAGGCAGGGTCTGGCGGAGGGAAGCTGCTCACATCATGGCAGCCAGGAAGTGGAGAGCCAAGAATGAAGCTGGGAAGGAGACGCACCCTTCCAGCTCTCCTGCAGTGACCCGCCTCTGACCACCTTACCCCACCTCCTAACAGCGAGCCAGCTGTAGCACCCCCATGGAACCTTCTATAAGACCTGCCTCTGAGCTCATGAGGCTTTGGGGAGACATCCAGTTATAAACCATAACAGGTGCCTTCCATAGAAAGTAACCCATGTATCAATTATTAGTAGATACTTAATAGCTCCTTATAGGGGTGATTGATTGAATAAATTAAGAGATTCATTGATCTGTGAAGAGGTCTCGAGTGGGTTTTAAAGGCTTTGAGAATTCATTGAATTGATATGCAAAAATTGCAAGGAGCTCCACATGTTTTCTGTCCCTGAAAGAAAGAGTTCTGGCTTTTGTCAGATTCTTGAGTGTTTATCAGAAACACAGAAAGATCAGAAGATCAGGAAGAAGAAAGAGGTGATGCAGCTCTTACCTTCTCATGTGGGGGTGGTGCCTGGTGCTTAGCCTGAGTCTGGAGGAGCTGGAGGACAGCATCTGATTCTACTGGGACACAGGGTAGCCTGAGAAGGAAGGAGCTCCTTGGAGACAGAGTGGCTCAGCCCCTGGACAGCCATCCGCACCCTGGCCGCTAAGTATCACTGTTGTCTTTATTATGGATTCTTTCCCCACTGCTGGAGGCCCTGCAGCCTCTCTCCCCAGAGAGACCCCCTCTGTCCAGGAACCCCGATTCTCCCAGGCTGGGGAGGGGCTCTTCTCACCACCTGATTTCCCGTCCCCATGACCCTGTGCTTCCCTCCAGGGGATGATGGCTTTGTGGTGATGCCTAGAGTAAGGGGTTGGGGGGGCCCAGCAGCTGTGGGAGGCAGGGACAAGATTGGAGCTTTAGGACTGGCACGGGAGAGGCAGGGCATCAGGCTCCCAGGCAAGAGGCGGGGCTCCGAACTGGCTCTTTTCCTGCACAAATGCAAAGCAGGGCAGACGTCCCAGAGCTAGGAATTCATGGCGAGCCCATTGGCACCCACACTACACCCTTCGTCCCCAGGCCACCTGACCCAGTCCTGCTGTGTTGTTGTACTGGGGTGAATGCTCCAGACTGGTCTAGTGTGAATGGCAAAGTTCTTGCAGTCTCAGAGCCCTTCTGCTGCACCTGCAGCCTGTGAATGCCAGTGAGGCCATAGGTCCACTGAGTCCTCCAGCCACTCTGGGCATCTGGTATCAGTTCCTGCTTGTGTGTTCCAGCACGTGCACACCTGCCCGTCCCCTACAGAGCCCCCAAGGTTGGCACCCAGGCTCTGTCCCTGCCTCCACTGCCGTGCTGTGCCCGAGGTCACAGCCTGCCCAGGAATCCTCCGGGGACGAAGGTCCCTATGGCTCAAGTAGCATCTTCTGGGCCCACAGGGACAGGTGGTGGCCGGTATTCCTCCTGGGGCTTGCGCCTCACAGGGGACCATCGCCAGGCTGCTTTTCTGTTCCCAGTCTTCACCTCTCTGCCTGCAGGCGCCCTCCTCTGGACACAGGAGCGCTGTGCCCTTTCCCCAGGTCTCTTCCCAGTGGACGTCAGCTTCTTCACCCAGACAGCAGGTGACCGCTGGACCCAGCAGCCAAGGCTCATGCCGGAAGCCTGGTTACAGTCCACGGTCTGTGGGTCCTGGAGACCAAGGGTCTCCCTTCCCTGGTGCAGCAGACAATGCTGTGGGTTCATCAGACCTTCTCACTTCTGTCCCTAGGAGAAGCCCCCTTCCCCTCCTCGCCTCTAGGTGGCTGTGGAATGCAGGCCGAGGGAATGTTCACTCTCTAGGCCGGGCCCGTAAGCGTACCCTCTGGGAAGGTCCTCTCTTTGGTGGAGAAAACCCCCTCCCTCCACACAGGCCCTTGTGTCTGGGCCACACTGTTTCTCGGACTAAGACCCTGAGACAGGGCTGTTGCTTGTCACGGCAGCAGCATGAGGTCTCCACACGCGAGTGCCCCTTGTGCAGAGCACACCCATGCACTCACACTTGTGCTGCCCCAGAGTTCGCAGCAGGCCCTGGCTGGACGCTTGCTCAGCACCTTCACGAAGAGCCTCAGTGTGAGGTCCGGGATGCGAAGGCTATGCTTTCTCACAGGCAGAAAAGGGAAGAAAACCCCAGAGATCACCCGCCGGACGCTGGCCCTGGCCCAGGCCTCCAGCCTCGGCTCCCCGCCACCAATCCAATAGAAGCCCTTCGCTGTGTGGGGCCTCAGCTCCCCAGGCTGCCGTGCCACTCTCGAGCCCCACTCGGAGAGATGCTGTTTATTCACTCAGCACGCACTCCCTGGACTCCGAGTCCCCTTCCTTCCACAGATGTTGAGTCCCTGTTCCCCTCTAGGCACTGTTAATTTCCTGCCTGCTGTGAGCTTAGGCCCACCAGGGAGCCAGAGACAGAAAGCAAACACACTTGCCCTGCTGTGCTGTGGGAATAAATGTCGGGAGGCCCAGAGGACGACAGAGCAGGGTGGGTGTGAGTGTGAAAGCCCCAGGCTGCGTCCTCTGTCAGAACGAGCATAGGCGAGGGGAGGAAGACGTTCGGAGGTGCTGGGAAGGGAAGGCAGGCTGTGGAGGAGCTTCACAGTTTTCACCGAGTGAGGTGGGGAATCCCAAAGAGTTCCAGCGGAGCAGTGGGGCCAGGCGGTGAGGGCTGGGGAGAGCGGGGGGGCAGACCTGGGCGTCCTGCTGATCGAGGGCCACCGAGGATGCACTTGTCCCTGAGCAGGGCTTGTCTTGCAGCATCCTGTGACCTGTGGCGTAACGGCCGCACACGCTTAGTCACGGGTCCTCCTTGTGTGTTGGGTGAGGGTAGGATGGAAGAGGAGCCAGGTGTGCGGGAGTGGGCAGGGGCACGGGGATTCCCAAGGACAGGCGTGGGCACTTGGTACACGAGGCCACACTTCCGTGTTCACATTCAGGCTCTTTGCTGTGTGATCCTGGGCAAGCTTCCTAAGCTTTAAGACTGGGGTGTGGGTGCCTGTGGATTACTCGGCGGTGACCTCAAGGGGCCCAGTTGAAGGCATGGGCAGCAGGGCAGGGGAGGGAGGACATCCAGGAACAGCACTTGGGGGAGTGTGGCAGGCAGAGCTCGTTCCTGTGGGGTCCCTGGACTCATGTTGATGCACCTCAGGCTGGAATGTTTAACCATGGGCTCCCAGCCCCACCGAGGCACAGACCCAGCAGTGGCATCTTCTGGGCCCACAGGGACAGGTGGCTGCCGGTGCTCCTCCTAGGGCTTGTCATGCAGTGACAGACCTGAGTCAGACACAGGTCAGGTGAGGTGCCAGGAACGAGCCTGCCAGCACCTGGTGTCCCCAAGGCCACCCCAGGGCCCACAAGGACGGGGTGGGGCATCAGGAAGAGTAGCCTCCTTGGCAATGGGAGGTGACTCCTTCTAGGCTGTCAGGAGGCTTATAGGATGCCAGGCCTGGGGTACAGCAGGCACTCAATAAATGCCAAGTACCAGGGCCCTACCTTGTGCTCCCTGAAGGTGGTAGCAGCACCAGAGTGAAGATACAGGAACTCAGGAGATGGGGCCAAACAGATCCCGTCACGATACAGACGGCAGGGCCATGACTTGGACCCGGAGTCTGTGACCCCAGGAGAGAGGGCTGGAGTTCCTAAGTCCTGGAGGAGGATGAAGGCCCTGTTTCCTCGTCCACCACAGGTCAGGAGAGAACAGGGAGATGGGGCCCTGCCACGGCCAGTGGGCGGGCTGAGCATGGGATCCAGGAAGGACGTTAGTGTCTCAGCCCAGCTTGGGGCATATGGGAGGCACCTCTCAGTTTCCGTGCAGACGTTTCTGAGCAAAGCAGAGGGATCAGATCCC